ATTCCCCAGCCAGCCATGCTGGCTGGGGAATTCTGGGAGTTGAAGTCCATACATCTTAAAGTGGTGAGGTAGAGAACACTGCCCCACAGTATAAGGGACGATCTGTGGATCTCTCCAGGCTGAGTGCAACTGTTTCCATAGGACAAGCTGGAAACCAGTACAGTGGCACCAGCGTGGTTTTCACTAAGGTGAAAAAGCTGTGGCTGGACTGTACCACTTCAGTAATGCCATAGGATCTCAGTGGCAGCATTTGAACAAAGCACTATTCTTTAGTTTTAATCTTGGTTAACTTTCTGGGGCTTAACCTGTTGTATGTGTCCAATATTTGTATTGGTCCTTTGTATTTGTTCATGGTTCGGTATATTGTGTGAGTCAAGAAAGAAGGGGGTGACTTCGTAATGTTTGAGTGGTTAATTTGAAGAGAATCCAGGCACGATGACCCCTCCTGTGAGAGGCCAAGCAAAGTGCCTTAAAAAGAGCAAAAATAACAGTTGGGCTTCATAGACGTTCAGGAACTGCCAGATTGTTTTGCAATAAGTATAATTTGCAAATGGATAAGCCAGTGTGGAAAGGACTTGTAAAGATGGCATTTTCTGGTCACCCTCCATCTGTTGTCGTGGGACCTCTTGGGAGCCGTAAGGCACCCTTTCAGAAATGTTGCCCTAGGAGACCGAAGGAGAACCCAAAAGGATCTTTACAGTTGGAGAAATGGGCTGAAAGTCACAGTGTTAATTTAAGAGAGATCAAGGCGAAGCTCTTCATTTAATACACAACAGCCAAATGCCAGGTATAAAATGGGGGATTCTTGGCTTGGAGTAGGATTTGTGTGAAAGATCTTGGAATAGTTGTGGACTGCAGACCAGATATGAGCCAGCAGCATGATGGGGTTGCAAAGACAGCTCAGCTCCTACAATGTCTGTTTCTTTCAGTGGTATGGGAAGTCGTGTGACAGAAAATAACACCATTAGCAGCATTTTCACAACAAAATCCTTTAAATAACACCACAAAACCAGTAATCAAATCATAGAGCAGAAGCTTTTTCATGTATTCTTTCAACAAAGCAACCAACAAATGTATAATCAACTTTTTTCCCCTCACATTCATACATTTCTCAGTGACTGCTGAAAAGCAAAAATCTTGGTCCCAAACCCCTAGGTTAGCATAAAGCCCCAATGAATTTCCCAAATTTTGCTCATTGTCACTTATAAACTTTTCGCCAAATGCCTTCCCAGGCCCACTTAACAAACTAACCCCCCTGGAGTTTATGGATCCACTCTTGTTACATTTCCCTCTGTGTAAGGCAGTGTTTTTCATTGAAGCACCGTTTCCAACTAATAGATTTCATTAAAAGGCAGAAGCATTTGTGAGCTGCGGTCCCCTTCATCAGATGGTTGGAGTGGCTAGACTGGTAAAGCATTTAAATTGGGGTTGTGGGGAAGGGAGAAGGAGACAGGTTGGTTATGCAGATGCAGGTTAGATTACAATTATCTTATCAAAACTGTAATGTGTTAAAAAACCCTTGTATTTGTTGACACCTTCTGAAATTGCCTGAAGCCTTTTGATGTACATGAGTTCAGCAATTTCTCAACAGGGCTAGTCTTGCTTTTCCAAAACAATCACTTTGAGGTCTGCCATGGAGTGTCCTGGAAGACTGAATTGCTCTGATGTTACTTAGTCTTTGTTTTGAGTCTTGATGTCAGAAACTTGTTTCCATTCATTCTTTTGTGTGACGTTTGTCCCATTTGTCCTAATAGAATCGAGAAGAACATTGCTGGCAGATGTTGGCATATATTCTATTAGAGGAAGAACGTGTGGGAGTGCCTCTAATCCTGTGTGTGAAGTTGTTGGGACCTGTGATGGTGCTGTTGTTGTAGAAGTGGGAGCAAAGTAGCCATCTGGGTTGTTGGAGGGTCTGGTTCTCTATGAAGGCCCTCTTGGCCACAGCTGCCACCTGCTCTTTGAGCAGGAGCTGTGAGTTCAAGACAACACCCAGACTGTTCATCAGCCTTGAGTGGGGAAGAGCAACCCTATCCAAGATCATATGAAGGAAGATCCTCAGGCTTGGGGGACCAAATATTCATAGCCTCCCAGTCTTGGCAGGATTGAAGCTGAGTCTCTTCCTTCCCATCCAGACTCATCCAGACTCCAGGACAGGACTTGATAGTATCACTTGCTCAATCTGGGGCCAAGAGGTACAGTTTGGTGTCATTAGCATACTAATGATGTCCAAGCTAATGGATAATCTTACCCAGTGGTTTTATGTAGATGTTAAATAGAAGGGGTGAGAATTTTGAGCCCTGAGACACCCCAAAAATAAGGGACTTTATCTTTTATTGGCAAATCTTTATTCTGTTAGTCATCTGATTTATATACTGCTTTCTTCCATGGTTTGATCTGCTGAGTTCTTAGATGGGAGAGCACCAGGAAATCCTACACTTATAAGTTAGGTTGGAAACTTGGAAGACCATCCCAGCAGACAGCAATGGAAGGCCATTTCCTTATCACTTTTGTGGGGATGGGAGGAGAAATGTGTAAATAGCAAATGTATATTTCTTCTTGGGTTCATGGACAAAATGGAGAATTGTATGGTGATTCTTCCATGATGGGACAGGCTGAAGGGTCAATGAGTGATGTACCTCATGCTTCTAAGTCATCATGACCTTCAGGATTGCACTCAGGAATGAAAAACTCTATTCCAATCTTCAGAAAATTCCTATGTGGAAAGGGTTTGGTCTTGCTAGCTGGAGAAAATTGAATCACTGGCCCAAGTATTATTCTACTGTCACATCTCTAGTGATATCTACATGGAGCTTTTAATACCTCTCATTAGGCCAAGCCCTGGATATAACATTTCTCTTGGCAGATAAGGACCCTCAAAGACCTCAAGCTCTTGTAAAGTTTGCACCTGTAGCCAGTAGAACCTGTGCGTTATTAATGGTAACTTAATTTTGGGCTGATGTTTTTGGCTGTATTGTGTAGAGCAGAGTACTCACAAAGCACTAGAGCATTATATTGTTTTTACCCTATTTTATTATATAATTTCCTCCCCTCTGTTTTGACTTTTATTTATGCTTTCCTCTGTCTTATTTTATTGTATTTAATCCAATTGTTCAGATATGTATGTTGGGTTTGTGACCTGTAATGAAGTAATTCAGTTCAATATATTACAGTACAACCATTCTTCTAGCCTCCTTTATTAAGGGACTTAGTTATACAAGATGTAACTTGGAGAAATGATCAGGGAAAACAAAGAGGGCAATCTTCTTTTGAGCAAGGTAGATAATAGAAAAATAGCCATAGCTAGAGTTGCATTGATGAGGACCAACAAAATGAACATAAATGGTCATTAAAGCTTGTGAGTTCTCCAGAAGCAAGAATCAGAGGATAAGAAAGATAATCCAATAAGATTAGGTCAATGTTGCAAGCCATGAGATCTTCAAGGCAATGTCAGTTCCAAGATAGGGGTTGTGGACTTAAAGCAAAGCCAACATTGGGTGTTTTAGATACCATCATATTTTCAGGGACAGAGAAATGGTTATGTTCCTGGTATTGGGAAACACAAAGATCATAGGCTGTTGGCTGCCATGGTTGATGCACACAAGCATCTTTGCTTGTCACAAAGTAGGGGCAAAGAAACATTAGTCACTACATTAACCAGACCAGACAATAATTTGGTCAACTTGCTGAGTATAAAGTCAAATCATACTGTATAGGGGTCACCCGGCAGTTAAATGCATCTTCCAAGGGACATAAAAATCCATCAAAACTGTGCCAATCCTCAGAACATTAAAAAAAAAATTCCAAAATTCATAGCAAGATTAATCTTTATTAGGCTCCACCAAGATAACACAAACAGGTATGCAAGCTTCTGAGCTCACCAGAACATTTCATCAGACAAGATTTACAAACTACAGGGGAGAAAGAAAACAAGAAAATCCTCCAACGACATTTTAAAATTCCTGCAGGCTAAGCAGTGACTGTAAATGTGAAGTGTAAGCCTGGAAAATCCAGGTTCTCCAAGCATTTGACTCAAATTCTAAAAATAATACCAAGTAAATTAGGGTTCACAATCAGCTTGCAGGATTTCAGTCCCTAGTCTGACTTCCTATGGAACAAACAAAATGTATTTTGGGAATAAATGAATCTCCAGGTTTTGAATTATAGGGATCTAAAGGAGTCAAAATACTCAATTAAAATTTGCATGTCTGGATATCTTCCAAGAATGTATCTTTTTTGGACATATCATGAATTTGCCAGCTTGCTTCCAAGATTAATAAGATCATGGTCTCAAATGTCCTGCATTATCACTGGACCAGTTAGCTGCATTGGCAACATCTACCACCTGGACCAGCTCCAGACTGCTGCACCATTAGTAAAGACAGTGGAGCAACATTCTATGTAATCATGATACTTTCGGCTCAGCCCCCTTGCACTGTTGGAGCCTGGGTTTCTACTTTTACTACTTGCTTTTGCATAATCAACTTATAAAAGATCATATTCTCTTAATAGAGTATCTCTGGGGGTCTCCAAAACTGGCAGACAACGCAGGGAGAACTTGTTTCAGCACCCTTTCCCATGGAGACATCCAGGTTATTATGTGGAAGGCTGGTTCCAGATCTTTGAGGTCCTACACAAGATGAATATCATTTTGGACCAGGATGGATTGAGCAAGTTAAAGTGATACCACTTTGCAGGAACACTGAGGTACAAAAGGAACCAGGATTTTCATGATCATCTTGGCCACTTCCTGAGCAATCATGAAAGAAACAAAGCTAATTTGGGTTGACAAACCCTTGTGAATTTAAGCAGGAATGGACTTTTTTTTTTTTTTTAATATACTGGGCAGTATTTCACCAGGGATAATCAGGGTTGCAGGGAGCAGTGACAAAATGCTAAGTCAAAAGTAGATGGGAATGCTTTTTTGGGAGGTGGGGTAGCCTTTTCTCCCCCTCCTCTTGAGACCCTCTTTTCATTCTTCCAAGTGGCGGATTGCAAGGAAGGGACAGACAATTTTGCATGACAATCTCTTGCATACAAGTTAGAAATGAGGCCAAGGACTGCATGAAATTAGCTCAAGACTGGATGACACCCCATACCTAATCTAATGGTACTTTGCATATTGAACTGCAGCCAAACTCCTGTTTATTTCATAAATCTGGATTGTAATGCAGCCACCTGTTAAAACTAAAGGCAGGGAGATTCAGGGCTGTCCTTTCAACAACACATAATGGGGTGAATGCAACCTGGCTGATGTAAAGAGGGGACTGGATGCATTCATAGAGGATTGGGTTATCAGTGGTTACCATGGCTGTTTGCTACCTGAAGAACCACAAGCAGTGTGTCTTGATTACTAGCTGCTAAGGAACAAACATAGAAGGGAGTAATTGCGTTCTGGATGCTTTTTGTAAGCTTCTTGATTCTGGTTGGCCCCCAAGACAAAAAATGCTAAAATGGATGGACCCTTGATCTGATCTAGCCTTAGGCTCTCCAAATTTCTTATGGATTGCACCATATAGCCCCCTGCAATGTCACAAAACTGATATCCTAAAGGTATTGTTTTAACTACCAGTGTATGACTGATGAATGACTAAAGTTAGTACATTTGGAATAAATCACAAGGCATAGAGATGCATATCCAAGCAGTCCTGGGCATAAGCTATAGGCAGTCTGACAAGTAGAGAAACAAAATAGGGCAATTTACAAAAGAGAAAATGGAACTTCACTGTAATAAAAAGTATTGGAAAAACAGATTTGATCCACAGCAGCGTCTCTCTGATCAGGGGATCAGCCCTGCATCTGGAAATAAAATGTGGTAATGATATTTAAACGACAGAACAAACTGAAAAAGCAGAGAGAGAAATCATCCCTTCCCCAAGTTCTGCATGTGATGGAGTGAGGAGCTCCAATGAAAACGCTTCCAGAAATGAATTGTGGTGGCAACGTGTGTGCTTATGGGAGCAGTCCTTATGGGCCCGCTTCTTAACACCCCTCTGATTAGTCCATCTGGAGTCACAGAAGAGAATCAGAGTGCAAATCCAGCTTTTGAAACAAGTTCAAAGCTTAGCTCTGCAATCCAGCAGCAATTACCCCAGAGAATCTGAGGCAGATATTGTAAGATTCCTTATCTGGAGCAAATCCTCTAAGTTATTCCCATTTTACTATCTACTTTTCAGCTCTAGCGTGTCCTAGGAGAATTGGTACAGGAGGGAAGATGTAACCTGGCCTGTTCTAGCATGCACAGAAAAATTGCTGGGGGGTAAATTGCCCTGGCTGCCTGTAGTTCTGTGAAATACCAATTTCTGAGCTAGAGAATTCTTGAGTAATCTTTTACCCTTTTCTTATATAGCTGATATGCTTGAGTTCTACCATTAATCAATGAGAACCTCTTATGAAATAGAAGATACTTCCAATCAGATGCTATTTCTAGTTTAATTGCAGCCCTCTAAGCAATCCTAGGGCCTTAGAGAGAACCTTGGCCCAGACTGTCTGGTAGGAAAGCCAAAAGACTCTAGCATGAAAGGGGTGGAAAGAAAGAATGACTTGATGCCATAATTCATGGCCTTCTGGAATCCTCCCATTACCTTTGCTCACATACAATCAAGATTTACCTCTTGTACTATCTTTGTAGCATCCTGTAGGAAGACATCTACCTGCATGGCCAGGATCTCCAGGCTGACCGCGAGCCCCAGGAAATCCAAGGGGACCAGTATTGCCTGGGGGTCCTTTTGAACCTTGTTTGCCAAGCACTGTTTCTCCTGCAGATCCTAGGTGAGAAAAAAATCAGAAATAATATTCTATCAGTCCAGGCTATTGATACACTTTGGCTTAAAACCGCAGAAATAGGAGAAAGAACTGGATATGAATGGCTGAGTCCTAATCATACAGAGCTCAGTTCAGGTGGCAACATCTACAGTAGCTAACCATGGCCATTCTCCAAAATACAGTGAGCAGATTGGACATACTCAGTACTTGGATGCAAGATCACCAGGAAATCAGTATCCATGCAGATTTTTTGGCAAGATACCCAAATGGCTATGATTGCCTTCTGGGAAGGTTTTTTGAGTTCCAACTCCAATTCCTAACCCTAGGAATCCCTGAGGGTCTCCCATCCAAGCGTTAGCCGGCCTGCTCTGCTTACTTTCAAAGTCTAGACATTAGCCATTAGAGCTCTCTTCACTGATAGCTTCTAGCCTGTACTTGAATACACCCTGGGAGGAGGACTCTACCATCCCTGTGGGTGATTGGTTCTGCAGTTGCACTGAGCTTAGAATTAGGATATTTTGCCTAACTTTCAATGGGACTCTGTGTCCTAGTAACTTAAATCCATTATTTTGTGTCCTGTACTCTGGGGGAAAAAAAGAACATCCTTCTATTTTAACTTTTGCTTGATATGACGTCTGCATGGCAGGTAGATGCAACATCATCCTTGAAAAATATATTGTTTGAGAGAGTAGACATCATTTATCCTGATTTTTTCTCTTCATGTCAGTGATGAATGATCATACCTGCTTGACCTCTTGGTCCTTCAGAGCCTTCCACACTTGATCCAGAAGAGCCTTTTTCCCCCTTGGGCCCAGGGACACCTGATAGAGGAGAGGAGCGATTTTAAAAAATCCTGTTCATGTTCTAGTTTTGACCTCACTTCCCCAAACTCCTGCGTGTACACTTTGGAAGAGTAGTGGGAGAAGATCATACCAAAGAGGTAGAAATACATGGTCTGGGACCAGGATGTTAGATGAGCTCGTCCTAGGAGGTACAGTAACGTACCTGTTGGTGTGCCCCAACAGTGTGTGTTGTTCTTGATGTTTGATTGCATCCTGACTTTTTGGACACCTTTCTGTGGATGGTCCTATATTTCACTACCTTCTCTTGGGAACCACCAACAGCAGTGAAAAAACTTCATTTGACCCACTCTGGAAGCTCAGCTAGGAGAACATCTATATAATCAGCTGCATCTGCAAGCTAGTAGAGATGCTTCTAAGATGTAAGTGTAGATCACGGAGAAAAAAGGCTGAGTGACAGATTTAGGTTGGTGTGTGATCTACCTTCTGTAGTCTGCCAATTAAATCAGCAACTTTGACTCTTGCTTGCGTGTAGAAGTAAAAACATCACCAAGGGAGCTTTAAATGTCTGTTCTTGCTGTTGGAGAATTTTTCTTGCTGAAACCACCTTCTTGGGTTCTGAGGATAACCCAGTAGTGTCCAAAAGAGGGGGGCATAGGTTGATTCTTAAATGGAGGCTTAATCTTTTAATTAATTCAGAGAGGCTGCTACGATGACCTGGCATTTGCAACGAAATGGAGAGCTGTGTCCTCCTCAAAGTGGGTTGTTTTTAGCTCTAAATCAAGAGGGGAGAGAAACAAACTGAAACAGACTGTGGTGCTTTGTTCCTCTCTTTTGAAGGCTCAGGAATGAGCTAATCCAAAAATAAAACCAACGGGTATGCATTTCCCTGCTCTCGGCAGCATCTGCAGACAGGAGTCAAGATGGTAGGTGGAAAGTCACCGTGCAAGCACTGTCTCTTTTATACTTGTGTGGGATGTGTGTACAAAAAGGGCAGGGTTTACAGTGTGACACTCTTGTCTACCATCTTGCCAATTTGACCCCCTGCCCCCATGGATGCTTCTGCCTACTGCAAAATTGTGTGAAAAGCCTCCCCATATTGGCTGAAATGCCCCCTGCCTTTACCTAGACCTTGAAGAGTCATTGAATTTGATTCCTTATGGTTTAGAAGATGGTGAGATTTGGAGCAGTATACAAAGGGGTTTACATGATGGATTGGCTGAAATCTCCTCCTCTCTTTCCCCACTACATCTTCTTCTCAGCCCTAAAAAGTCATGGAAGCTTTTGTCTAGGCGGATACAAGCAAGGTTTAGGTTGAATGGATTTGGGGGAGCATGTCATGGGCTTTCTTTCAAAATGCCTGCCCTGAAGAGGACGGCCTGCATGCACAGTAACAGCCACAGGCCATTCTGGGCACTGCCAAATATAAAACTTATATGAAGAAGTCAAACGGGTGGGACTGTTTCTCACTCCTTCCCCCCCAGTTCTCCTGGGTGATCTCTACCATCCCAGATTATCCTCACCATTTTTCTAGTTGGATGGGTCAGTTCCAAGCAAAGTAGTGCACTGTGGTCTGGGACCCTGCTTATTTTCAAAAAATGCCTCTGGGCCCCCTGTACCCCAAAACATTCTGGTAAGTGAAGAGAATGCTTTTGCTGAAGTTTCATAGCATGCCTGAGTCCAATTTATGTGTTTGAATTAAAACAAGGTCTTCAAAAATTCAGGTAGAATAGGAGGTTTAGCAGAATCCAAGGGAAGACGCTCATCTGGACATTTATTTATCAAGTCCTGGCCTAGGATTCCACCTGGATCTGCCTTTCATCTGAAGAATTCTAAGAAAATTATTTATTTTCATAGGAAGCTACCTTGGAGAGGAAGGAAGATGACCTTGAGAGAAATGTGCAGGAATCATTACCTAGGCAAAAGAGGCTGAAACATTTTTGAAGTCCAGAACAATGAGATAACATTCAGAAGCAGCTCAGGCAGACACCTCCCTGATTCACTGAAGCATAAGGAGGAGGAGGAGGTCCAGCACAATCAGACGTGCAAGATTTTGCTATTGTAGCCAATCTCAATAAAAGTAATGTTAGCCTTCATGTGGAATTGATTTCCTGGTCGGGTCTATCTAATGGGACTGACATTATCTAACTCTAAGACAAACCCATCTAGTTTTGCATCGTTTTCTGTTAACAAATTCTGTTAATGCCACCCAGAGTCACTTTATGTGAGATGGGTAGCTATATAAATATGATAAATCAATCAATGAATAAAATAAATAAAATATCCAGTGGTGTGCCCTATACCTTTCCTTGCTTACCTCTTTCTCCTGGATATCCATCTCTTCCTGGAAGTCCAGGCATCCCAACTTCTCCTCTTTCACCTTTCATGCCAGGGAGGCCAGGGAGACCAGGTGGCCCAGGTTCTCCAGCCTTCGGTTTATCCTCCCAGATGGGAACAGGTTTCCGTGAATGTTCATGGATGAAAGAGTCAAACTTTAACACATGAGCTGGAGTAGAAGAATGGAAAGAAATGAGATTTTCCTTCTTGCCCTGCATCTGTTCTGCTTCCTGTCCTTTAGCAACATATTTTTTTAAATGAACAATATTTTTTTTCCAAATATATAAAATCACCTTCAAATTGAGCATGATTCTTTTCAATATCATGGACTTATCCATGTACTTTTCTTGGCATCCACATGGAAATGGTTTTCCATTTCTTCTTCTAGGATGAAGATGAAGATGATGATGATGATGATGATGATGATGATGATGATGATG